AGTTTTGACAAATCCCGTGCCCTTTTACAATGTGCCCCTCAGCCGACCCCTCTTCATCTTCCTCCTCATCTCACACCTCCTCCTTCTCAGCTTCCTCATCTCGCACCTTGTCCTCCTCCTCCTCCTTGTCGTCGTCCTCCTCCTCGTTCTCCTCCTCTTCCTTCTCCTGACTGCTTTCATTTGCGTGCCAAGCGGCGAGCACGGCCCTTTCTTTTCATTCATTTCGTGGTTATGCTCTTCTTCTCCTTCCCTCTCACTTCTCATTTTCCTCCTACTCCCCCTCCTGTGTCTTTCCCTCTTTCTCTTCCCGTCGTCGTTGCCATCCTCCTCCTGTCTCTATCCCTCTCTCTCTTCATCTTTCTCCTCCTCGTCCTCCTGTCTCCTTCCCTCTCTTTTCTTGTCTTCCTCCTCGGAGTCCCCTCCTCCTCCAGTGTGGTGCAAGTCGGCGTTGCTACACCGGCTGCCTGGAACAAACTGTGCGACAGGGACGGGAATCCCGAACCATTTCGACAAATCCTGGACACTTCCACACTGTGCCCCTCAGCAGCCATGGGAAGAATCGCCCCCAACAAAGCCCGAAGAAAAAATTGTTCGCTGTCACGCTCTGACACAAGACCAAAGAAGTCGCAACCCAAGAAAAAATGATTCACTGCTCCACCTTGCCAAAGGCCCAGTACCCGCACTACCCGGTCGTGGCTATGGATTTGTATTCAAACATGAGCCGATTCAAAACTTTGTGATACCGGCCCCTCCCAAACCAGGTGTGGCCCACCCGCTCCCGCTCCCGCTCCCTCCACGGATTTTTGTGCGACCACGGAGAGCGTAACTTCTCAATACCGGACCCCTCCCGAACCCGGTGCAACCCACCCGGTCCTGTGGGCCCGCAGAAAGCATCGTGTGAGGGCCGCTTTTCACTTTAGTAGTATAGTATAGTACAGAGATTTCCTTTTTTAACATGTCCTTATGGTCAATGTGACCTGACTGGCTGTGTGCTCACAGGTTCGTGTACACGATGAGCGCGGCGATGGATGTGCACTGGAGGGCACGACACGTGCGACTTCCCTCGAGGACAAAGGAACCCTGACCAGCATAAATTGCTTCCTGGAAGGGGATTGACTGTGAGTTGGCCTTTCCCTCCTAGAGGTCCTCTCAGAATCAGCTCCGCTGAGACTGCCATATTATTGTCCTAAACAAGAACTTCTGAAGGGATAGACTGCATACTGGAGTTGTTGATTGGCTGACAGCATCACCAGACCCTTTCTCAGAGTTTCCGTGTTTTCCCCTAATTGGTTTTACACCGTGCTCCTCCCAGATCGTCCATTGTCGCTCCTTGCATTGTTCCATCTCTTCCACCTCAGTCTGTTATCGTCGATAGTGGTGATTTTGCCATGCAGCGACCAGACTTTGTAAAAGTGACCGCTCCCCCCACTGGCCATGCATTCCTCTGGTTCGTCCTTTGCTTCGTGTCTGACCATGTTGGCATGTTCCGCGTGCAACGAATTTCAGTTTCCGACAGTCCCATGAGCTGTGACCAGGCTATCTCTCTCGCTGATAGCTCTCTGTCAATAGTCTGGGAGCACCTCGTCTCCCATAGGTCCATAGGGTGACTTTCCTGAATAAGAGGAACCAGTTCTCCTCCCCACCACTCAAGGACTTGGGGAGACTGGCAGAGAGTAGGATGGTGATCACGGGTATCGTGAAGGGAGGGGGGAAAGTGGTATGGCAAAGAGGGAAACTCTCAGTCCCTTGACCCTGTCCCAAAACCAGGTCGCTTCAGTGCATCTTCTGGTGGATTGTCGGTGCACCCTACACAGATTTCGGTGCCGTTGGGATCCAAGTGTTTCCTCTTTTATGTTGCCGCAGGGAGGGAGGCATAGGCATTCTAAGTTCGAACATTTTAGACTGTAGATTGTTGTTGGATTTATTGCCTGGTATTTTTTCCATGGGATCACTGCTTCGGCATCAGGGTTCAGGTGAAGAATCTTTTCCATCACATGTTGAATCTCTGGGCTCAGGTCCTCAGTTTTGAGGCCTAGTAGTTCGTACCCCCAGGCCCAAGCAGTAAAAGTGCTGTGACGATTGGGGAAGCTAAACTAGAGAGCATCATTCGAGTCGTTATGCCCCTCCACAGGCTTCCAGCACTCCATGATTATCAGCAGCGCCTGGAATTTTTGGAATATAGCCGGAGGAGGAATGTGGACCTCTTCACTATGGAGGTTGAGATCCTTGACTATGGGAGAGCTCCCTAGCTATGGTGCTGGACTACTCCATGTCCATTCTTCAGGTGTGGTTGTTGAACCTTGTGCAAGGGCAACTACACAGTGTCCTGGGGCAATCAGAGGAGGGAAAGGGCAAGAAGGAAGGGATGAGTTGGGCATGATAACCATTTGTTACAAAGCGGTTTGAAGATTTCTTCATGTTTGATTGACACTTGGGTTCTTCTCTCGTGGAAGTTCGTCGTGGGGGAAGATTTGGCACTACCGCTCATCTTAGCCATGGTTTGAGTGACAAGAAACCAGGGGATGATATCGTGGAGTTTCTAGCGGGTAGATGGTAGGTTTTCATCTCTGGACATGGCTTCTTCAGGATTCATTGTTTATCTACATTGTAACACTGGTAATAAAAGCATGAAGAGTCCTAGTGGCACACCCCCGTGTAGGGCTGTGACCAATCCGGACTGGAAAGGGGGTGGGGAAAAGAAGGCTTGAGTGCCCCCCTATAGTTGTATGCACATTGGCCACTGAACAACGCACCTATCTCCGTGTGTTTTTCCACTGGGCCACCACACCTTGGTGCTTTTCTTTTCTGGTTTTTTTTTTTTATCTCAGTGTGCCACCATGCCTCGGTGCTTTTCCTTTTCTGTCTTTTCTTTTGTTTTCGAGTGCCAACTGTATCAATTCATACTCCAAGCCACTGCGCCCACCCAGCATAGCTCTACCAAGGTCCCAGCACAAATAGCACCTAACTGACATAGCACGGCAAGGTACCAGATCAGATAGTGCCCAGTTGAAATAGCACTATCAAGGTGCCAGCACACATATTGCCCAGCCAACATAGCACTCCCAAGGTGCCAGCGCACAGCACCTGGCTAGCATAGCACTACCAAGGTGGCAGTAGACATCATGCCCAGCCAACACAGTACTACCAAGCTGCCAGCACACATAGTACCACCTAGTCCACATAGTACCGCCTAGTGCATACAGCTTCCACCCCGCATAGCCCACATGGTACCACCCAGTGCACAGAGTACCACTCAGTGCACATAGCACCCACCTGACACATACCATCTTTTGCACCCCTCCCTAGAGCGTTTCCAACAAATAGAATCCGATAACTTTCCCTTGTAACCTAGAATGAATGATTTTCCATGAAACACAGGGTGAAGTTGCAGTGTAACAATTACATCGGACAAGTTGAAACACGAAATTGCTCTGCCACAGGTGGACCCATGGCAGCCAGCACACTGGTAATAAGAACAAAGATGTAGTTCAAAGTGCGATGTAGCCCAGAGTGAGTGAAGTCTGAATCATGTAGACATTGTATTATTCCGCGGAGATCCAAGTGACTGGAGTTCAGAGTCCGATTTAGCTCAACGAGTCGGCCGGCAAGTCGATCAACCAAGCAGCAGTCAAAGCAGTCCTCACTGGACATGCTGAAAATCCAGTGCTGTAGCGACTTCCATAGCTGTGTCCGCTGTAGTGAGGGAGGTGAGGGGCAGGGCCTCCGCACCCCTTGCACATTGTCAGAAGGGAGGGGAGGGGATGAAAGGGCTGTTATAGATGGTGGTAAGCAAGCGAAGGGGCGGGGAGGGAAGCTCCATTATGCCCATGATACCCGTTCCGTGCCTCGTGTGCACAGGGTACCCAATTATACATTGATCACAGAAGGTAGGAGGGAGGGGCATAGAAGTGGGGCGCAACAACATGGACGCCAGAACTGTTAGAATTGGGGTCCGTGTGTGCAAGTGTGGGTGTGCCACACGGCCTTTGCATCTGTTGTGCATTGATACAGGTGAGTGGAGGGGATGAAAGGGCTGTTATAGATTGTGGTAAGCAGGCAAAGGGGTGGGGAGGGGAGCTCCGTTATGCCCACGATACCCGTTCTGTGCCTTGTGTGAAGGCTTGAGGGGCAAGCACAGGGTGCTCATTGTACATTGTTCTCAGAGGATGAGAGGGACAGGAGAAGGAGTGGGGTGCAACATCACTGACGTTAGAGCTGTTAGAAGTGGGGGCCATGTGCGTGCAAGTGTGGCTCTGCTGGACACTTTCACCTCTTCAGAGTCTCTCTCTCTCTCTCTCTCTCTCTCTCTCTCTCTCTCTCTCTCTCTCTCTCTCTCTCTCTCTCTCTCTCTCTCTCTCTC